CAGCAGGAAGAAACTGGACGTTTTTCCTGAGAAACAAAATGGCTGCAGAGCCAATGAGGCAGCGCCGCCTCTCGTGCTCTCTCTCCGTGTGCGTGTTCCAGTGTCTCTCGCCCTGGCGTGGACCCAGCGCTCCTGGTCTTTTTCACATAAAGCAGCTTTTAGTTCTGTCGTTTCATCCAAACAAGCCCCGAGCCAGAACTCCCCCTGGACCCCGAGCTGCTAAGCTGCTTTAGAAATTAGCACTAATAAATGTTTGGCAGAGATGACGGTATTCAATTATTATCAACATCATCATCTCGGCTTCTGTCAATCCCTCACACACGCACAGAAAACTAATGTTTCGGTTGTTAAAACAGCTCATTTCAGTCTCCCTCGCTCCGAGGACACAGCAGTGTTGTTTGTTTGTTGTCCTCACCTCCTCATCAGAACAGCAACGAGCTGAACTACGTTGTGGTAAATACAGCTGGAAAATGTTGTAAAATCAATACTTCACATGTTCGTCCTCTCTCTCCAAGGTCAGTTCACAAAACATAAAGGTGAATTCATTCATTCAGACCTGTTGGCACTGCAAGAGACCGGTGTGTGTGCGTACCTGGTGTGTGAGTGAGGCGTACAGCAGGTATCCAGCCTGTGTGTGGACGATGCCTTTAGGTTTCCCTGTGCTGCCTGACGTGTAGAGAAGAAACAGGAGATCCTCACTGTCCAGAGGTTCCGCAGGGCAGACTGCAGACTGGCAGGCCATCACCTGCAAAGCACACCCTGTGATTACACTACTACTGCTGCAGACCGACAGGGCGTCGCTCAGAAAGTGATACTCCTCCAACTACTAGTAACTGCTGCTACTCCTGTGTTAGCCATGTTGTCAGGTGCACTGTGTGCACTTCACAGCTCGTACAGTGGCTAAACCGATCTGATCAATCATCTCGTATCAATTGCTCAGACATGGAGTAGTGTGTCACCTCCTCCAGGGCGACGTCCAGCGGTCCCATCACTGCAGCCTGTTCGGTCCTCTGCCAGACAAACACGTGTCGGACGGTCGGGCAGCTCCTCACTGCGGCGTCCACCGTGGATTTGAGGTTGATGAGCCGGCCGCCTCGTACACCTTGATTACAGGTGACCACGGCTTTACATCGAGCTGCAAACACAGCACACATGTAACTGTTCACATTTAATCAGAGTCATTTCTCCTTCAGTGTGACTGTCAAACCAACAGCAGCGTTTGCTTCTCGGCCACTTTGATCCGATCCTCAATCAGCAGCTGCTAAAGCGATTACTGATACTGGAGGCAAATACTTTGGGCGCTGTGGGAAGATTTCCACTCCATTTGGGTGCATTATTTTCAGGCCTGTGCACAAAGTGAGCATGTCTGGTTGAAGATCCAGCACGACTCTGTTGTTCATACAGTTTCCTTCATTGAACAAGTGAATAAAAGCAGAAGGCAGAGTTAAGACATGCAGGGTGTGCACTACTGTTTCTCCCGCTGCTCTTTAGTTTCCTCCTCAGACTCGGATCAGAGCCACAGATTTAATTTAATGCCGTATGAGCTTGTGATTTCAGAGAAGTTATTAAAAGTCACAACATGAGCTCTGACTTGAACTGAGTGAGTCAGCTTCTTGGGTCTGGACCAAATTCCTCAGAGAGTCCTCCAGAGGATTCCCAGGCACTCCGCTGCCAAACGCAGTGAAAGTAAAGCCTCGTTTCTAAGTTGGTTGGTCCAAGTTGACTTAACTTTGCAGACACTCGGCACCAAGTCATTTTACACCACCCTTGTCTCCCGATGTTTAAGTGAGAATCATTCAAGCCTGCAGATCCAAACTTTCCAAAACCTTTTATCAAACAGTGATGTAGGGACATTAGATTCTGGGAATGAGAATGTGTGGTACGGACCATTCCAGCTGAGAAGCGCACACGGATGGACAAGTAGCTACGGCCGGAAACTGTGAATTTCAGCAGAAACTAAACGATGACACAGTGACTAGACAGGCATATAGAACATTATTTACTGTCCCACATAAACAATGTGTGAGTCGCCGCTGTGAATCATGTGGACGTAAAGTGGTGCTGAGGCTTAAACATGTCATGTTCCAAATGTCCAAACCAGTGGCAGCAGAATGTTCATACTGCTTCAAGAACGTATCAACAGGCCGCTGTGTGTTCATGGCAATGACCAGACAGAGCCTTTAAGTGGGAGGTACTGCTGAACTCCGACACAGTCCCATGATGCTCTGCTTCACCGCTGCTCAGCTGCCCGAAGAAAGGCCATGTTTGGCTTTGGTGAACCAGCAACTGTTTCCACAACACATGGGTCATCGTGCAGCATATCTCATCTCTGCAGCTGATGAGGGCCCTGGGATCTCTATGGTGGGATGCAGCTGGAGGGTGGAGGAAGCAGGTGACACTGCTTCGACCTTCACGCTGCTGCAGCTTTCTGCACATAAACGTCTGACTCCCATCATGAAGTGTTGTGCAACTAAAAACAGAGGCTCAAGGGGAATTTATTTTGACTGGAAACATCTGACTGAAGTTCAGACACAAGCAGAGACAAAGTCCCTCAGGACACTAAGAAATGTTTGACTACAACCAAGAAAACAATTAAGTATTCTTTTCCCCAGTGTTCCTGGAATATCATGACTAACTTTGCTGCCTTAACTTCAGATTTACCGACTGTGTCACGTAGACTGACGGTTACATAAAGGTATATGTGGACCAGGGTCCAGGAACAGTGCGCTGGCTGCTTTTCCCTGCACCAGTTGCACACTGACACAAATACATGCAGACATGAACTGTAGATGGAGGTGAACCTGAGGAAAACCAGAACATTCAATCTAAACCTGCTGAGCCAATTACTGTCCTAGCAGAGGGTGAACAGAGGTTTGATCTGCCTGGAAAAACACAGCTCCTACGTACCAGATGTACGAGTTTTCCACCAGCACTTAAACACAGCACACAGAGGCTGCGAGAAGGGACACGTGTCAGCAGATCCAGGCTCTGTATGAACAAGCCGCTTGAGATGTTTGAACGTATGTCTGTAAAATACTGATATTTCTGGGAGATTTGTTCAGACAGAAGGTGTTCGTTTGTTTGTGGACTGAGCAAGAGATTGTCAGCCATGAGCTGTAGATCACGTGACACATATATGTCACCACGATTAAGATGAACTTCTCTCCGTATGCTCAGGAAGTACCCACACACCGCTGCGCTTGTAGTCTGAGTTCATGGTGCTGGAGTTCTCAAGACGCCAAGCACAGACGGAACATCTGGAAGTTTGGGAATTTCCCTGGTGGGTGCCTGTGCCTCCTTCCCCCAAAGCATTTTTATATCATTACAAACTGTGCATACAGGACGTCAGATCCTACAGATACTCAACAGTCCATCTTAGCTGGTGCAACCTGCGCCAGCAGTGAGGGCTGTTCCATGATCAGTGAAAGTAACTAAGCATGTTTACTCAGTATTTCAGTAAAGGCTCCAAATACGTCTTCCAGCTCATCTGCAAAGTATCAGCAGTAGCTCTACTGCTGACACTTTGCAGCAGCCAGCAGATGAAGAGGAAGAC